CGCCTCAGCCTTCCAAGTAGCTGGAACTACAGGCGCGCGCTACCACGCCTGGCTGATTTTTGATTTTATTGTAGAGATGAGGTCTCGCCAAGTTGCCCAGGCGGGTCTCAAACCTGTGGGCTCAGGCAATCCTACTCACCTCAGCCTCCCAAGGCACGGATTACAGGCTGAACTACCGAGCCCGGCTGGTAATTCTATTTTTTAGTTCTTTGGGAAATCTCCAAACTGCCTTCCCCAGCGGCTGAACTATATCCCCACCAGTGTGGTATATGAATGTTCCCTTTCTCACCCCACCTCCCAGTCTAGCCAACTTCTGTTGTTTTCTGACTTTTTAATAATAGCCATTCTGGCTGATGTGATATGGTATCTCATTGTGGTTTTGATTTTCATGAATAAATTTAACTTCCAAATAGAATTCAGTATTTCAGTGATCATTTAGTGAAAGAAATTGATTATTAGCCTGGCATGGCATGTATCTATAATCCCAGCTTTGTGGGGCGATTTCTTGAACCCAAGGGTTTAAGTCCAGTCTGGGCAACGTAACAAGACCCCATCTCGACTTTAAAAGACAAAAAATGACTCCTACATTTTTCTTTTCTCCGTCACTTATAGGAATTATTACGGTTTCCTAAACTTCATGATGCCATAGTTGAAGTAGTGACTTGTCTTCTTCGTAAAAGGTTGCCTGTTACAAATGAAATGGTGAGCTACTATGTCACAAATCATCATTGTAATTACTATTAGTAAAAGTTTAAATTTTTGCTTGGCTGCTTTTTTATACAGCATTATGGATATTTTAGAGTTTAGAAAATAAGAAGTGAGTTTCAGTGTTACTTCAGAGGAAATTTTTCAATAATTCTGGTATAAAGTGCGTTTTCTTCATATTTCAATCACTGTTAGCCTGCAGACACAGATTTTCAAGAGAATGGAGTTACTGTTGAGGGTTGTGAATAGCTTTGCTCTGGTAATACTGATCTGAATGGAATATTAGTTCTATCTTTAGCATCAGTAAACTGAACCTTTATAGCACGCTCTTACTTTGAATATGAAGTACAGCTGGGTAATCTGGCCACTTCTACAGTTTGCTTGTTGATAACTTAATATAATATCATAGTTGCTTGGTACTATTCTGTGGGTTGCTGCTATCCACAAAAATAAAAATGCTGAAATTGGCAGAAATATGGGATAAGCATTTAAAATTGCCCTTATGCCTCTATTGGCTGGGTTTTTTGTTTATTGTTTTCTTTCTGATCACTAAAAGTGCATTTGGGTCCTTGGCTCAGGATGTTGAGCCCCAGTGGAGGTTTATTAAGAGTACAAAACCATCCTTAGAAGTACAGAATGTAAGTGCTGCTGCTTGATTGTTTCCTTAGCAAGGATAACCCCCAGATTCAAATGTCTAAGACTGAAGTTAGCTTCTCTTAGACTCTACTCACTGTTATCACAGATCATTGGAACTTCATTTGAATAGATCTTTTTCACCTAATTCTTGACCTGAGATTTGTCAGTACGGTGCAGATAACATGGCAAAAAGTTTAAGTTTACTTCTCTCTGTAGCACTTAGAAATTCTTTAGAGGCAAAGAAAATTAATTTCTGTTTTTATTTTTGGTTATTATCCTGTAAGGATTTTAAACTACGTATAATATTTTAACTTAGTGCTTCATAATTAAGCTGAATCAGTCATTATCTCAGGTCTTTCAGTCTATTCTTTACCCAAATAAAGTCAGCATTTTGAACTTAAGTCTGATTATGAACTGTTTTTTTATTGTTGAAATGAACTAAAAGTTTGATATGGAATAGTGGATGATTGGATGTTTTAATAGAAAGTTGCATAAAGTCTTGGAACTTAGATTTACATCAGGTAGGTGACTTTTCTAACAACAAAATATTTGTAATGACCTTAATGCCATTTTTCCCTCTTAGAAATGCAGTTTTAGATGCTGGGATGTAAATAATTTAAAAGCTGGAGCAAATTATTATTTGGCTTAAGTTTTGTCAGCTGGAGTATAATTATTGAGTATTTATTTAAGCATGTGTTTCCTGTACTTTTTTCGGTATTCTGTTTAGTAAGTTTTATATGTAAATTTCTCAAAGTAAAATTAGGTTGACATATTTTTGTATATAGCCTAACTTAATTTTTTTCTAGGTCCATAACTTAGTGGCAATTGAACTGGCATACATCAACACAAAACATCCAGATTTTGCTGATGCTTGTGGGCTAATGAACAATAATATAGAGGTAAACACAACGAAAACTTTTTTCACAGGTAGAAAAATCTGTTGTGACTCAATTGTATAAAACTTACTTAGCATGGGATATCTATAAAATAGATATGAGCTAGCCGGGTTCGGTGACTCAGCCTGTAATCCCGCGCCTTTGGGAGGCTGAGGTGAGTGGACTGCCTGAGCCTGCGGGTTTGAGATCCGCCTGGGCAACTTGGCGAGATCTCATCTCTACAATAAATCAAAAAATTAGCTGGGCATGGTAGCGTGTGCCTGTAGTTCTAGCTACTTGGAAGGCTGAGGCGGAAGGATCACCAGAGCCCAGCGGGTCGAGGCTGCGGTGGCCGGGGGAGCAGCCACTGCACTTCAGTCTGGGCAACAGTGAGACTCCAACTCAAAAAAAAAAAAAAAATAATAGATATGAGCTGTATTATTTCCTATTACATGCCAGGAAAATATGCTGAGGGCCATCACATTGTTTTCTTGAGTTCTTAAAGCCACCTGGAGGCATTATTCTTACTTTCTGCTTATAAAACTGAAATTCAGACAGAATCTGGGAATTCACTGATTTAGTATTGAAGGATTGCCTGGCTCTATTTCAGTGACTTGTAGTGTACTTAGGGGGAAGTGTGTCAAAAAGTGAGTGCTTAAAATTGTTTTCCTTTGGCTCTGAAAGCTGTGAAGGAAACATTCAAAAATTAAACAACTTGCCATAAATATGGAAAAAGCAGAGTGCTGTTTTCACCACTGCTGGGTGACTACATTTCATAATCTTTCTGTTTGATGATAATCTAACAAACTGCATAAGATCTCACATAGAGCTGGTGGATACAGCAATTTATCCAGATGCTATTTTTTTCTCTGTCACTTTTATCCAATAACAGTAAGTTTTTCTGCTACTCTCTAATCCAGTAAGACCTTAGAATCTCCAAATTACCCCTCCTGCTTGTGAGTAGAGAGAAAATTGTAAATATGGAATTTAGGGGTTGGAAGGGAGCCTGTATTATCAGCTTCAGCTCTTGTTAAAACAAATGAGGAGCCAGAGGCCCTCAGATGATAACAGCTATGCCTTTGTTGCTTATTTTGCAGGGTACTGTTACAGGAAACAAGCACCTTCTTCTTAGTAGGAAACTATTTTTTTGGTTATATAGCTGGTGATTCCCATTATCAGAAAAAATTCCAAAATGAATATATGAATAAGGCACTTTAGAACACTCAGGAAATAGACTAGATAAATTATGTTAAAAATTAGCACATAGACATTTCCTTAGTTCTTTTAATATTAAAACCAACATGATGAAAAACTTGTGTCTGGATCAGTTTTGTTATACTGATAAGGTCATATATGATAGATTTCAGATCAGTATTTCTCTGGTTTTAATGACTGTGCCAAATTCTTATTTAATCTTTACCACAATCCTATGAGGGTAGATAATATTAAACAGATTAAGACAGCACGGCTTAGAAAGAGTTGGTAATCTGTCCAGTTAACAAAGCAAGTAAGCCAGGTCTGCTTAGGGCCAGCTAAGGCCATTATAGGGTGAGGATTCCTGTTCTCTAAATTCCTTGCCTTTTGCTTTGTGTCCCTCTTCAAGATGTATATTTTTACATGCCTTTTAAAAGGTTGTTAGCATCTATATTTTTATCATCTGCTATGTTTATATATATATTTGGATAATCTCCCATGAGAAAATTGAATTGGGTCAAGTTTCTCTCACAAAAAATTCTAACATATAAATCATCATGATGAAGCACTGTCAACATATACCTTTTTGCAAGTTTGAGAGTATTCATGAAATACTTTCTGCTTAGGAACAGTTTTAACTTTATTTAACTTAGATGCTTTTCTGCTGTATTTGATGCTGCCTGTGGGAAGACCATCAACATTTACACCTTTCTATATCTTCATAATCTTGTACCTGTCATAATGTTTGGATATAGCAGGTGCTCAGGATGAATGTAAAAGCTTCTTTAACTTTGTACCAGTTACTTTGATAATATTAGCAAATTAGAATAGTGGGCAGCTGATCAGTCTGTTAAATAGCCAGGTTACAGAAAGGACTATCAGTTGTCAATGCTATATATTGGAGATAGTTTAGGATAAAGAAAACATATCATTTTTATAGGATAACCTCAACCACAGGTATTTCTTCAAAGTATGGTTTTGGGTTTGGGAGCTCTGATTTTAACACAGAATATGCAAGTGAAAGTGCCAGATTCAAATGGCATGCTGAAGACTTCTGTTCCACATTTATGCAGGGGCAGTTTAAATTAATGTTTCTTAACTTAGTGGAAAAAAGAGAGAAGAGTTGGTCTGTTGTCCCGCATTTGAGAATCACCAGTATCGGGAGCCATACTGACATTGTATTGTATCCCTCAGGTGTGTTGGGGCAGAAAAAAAAGATTGAGAAGCATTGGGTTAAATGATTTCTTATTTGTTTTAAAATATGATAATTATGTCATGAGTCCCAACAGTGAGAGGATATATCTGTAAGTTATTCCACACCTTTCAATTCAGATGAACTTTTTTTTTTAGTAGGCACATATCTCAGTATTCTGATAGTCACTTTTGTTTTCCTTGGGTGTGTTTTATAGGAACAAAGGAGAAACAGGTTAGCAAGAGAACTGCCGTCAGCTGTATCCCGAGACAAGGTAAAAAAAAAAAATAATGTTTTAAAGCATATTCCCAATACCCAAAGATGGATTGGTGAGTCTCAGAATATTATTCAGTTTTAGGAGTAATTTTTCTTTCCCTTCCTTTAATACTCCATTGGAACCATTTAATTGTTTGAGTAAAAGGTATGCAAGTTTAAAATAGGCTTTGAGTAATTTAAAATGACTGTATTTTGAATGCACTGGAATAGATGATTAAAGGTGGCTTTTAAGCATCAAGACTTATTTCTTTTAAAGTTCAGTCAGTAACTTTATCAACTTGGTAAAATTAGTTGAAATGAGTAATGACTTTATTGTAATAAGAGGGTTTAGTGGAGAGACAATATGCACATAACAGAGGTTTTAATAATCAGTAATACCGATAATGGTTTTAATATTGCAGCGTGCACATAAAAATCTGTTACCTGGAATTCTTTGCCAGAAAAGAATCTTTTCAAACATCAAAAACAAATGTGAAGCTTTTGGATTTGGATTTTTCTTACGTATTCACCATTTAACAAAGGTGACAGTGGTACAGGAAGTAAGGCAGACTAAACAATTTTATCTCCTATGGTTTTATTTTTCATGTTACTTTACTACCTCATAGCAAAAGGGAAAAATTCACATTTATAGAATGTTTCTGAATGCATTCTTGGCATCCTTGATTTTTTTTCCCCTGCATTTTTTGCCTTTAGTCTTCTAAAGTTCCAAGTGCTTTGGCACCTGCCTCCCAGGAGCCCTCCCCTGCTGCTTCTGCTGAGGCTGATGGCAAGGTCTGTTCTGATTCTTATTCTAAGCCTGCATGCCTAGTGCAACATAATCTTCTGGAAACAGTACAATGAATAGAAGAATATTAATATGAATATTGTGCTAAGGTCAGATAATTTTAGTTTAATTTTTAAATTTTGTAACTATATATTGTTGACATGCTTTTGCTTGCAATATAGAAGATGCACACAGAAAAATAAGTAATTTAAAGAGGAAATTATCCTTCACTTTGAATTGCAAGCCATTGGTATTTAAATTTTGCTTGTTAAATTGCATGTTTTAACATGTCTCTTAACAGTTAATTCAGGACAGCAGAAGAGAAACTAAAAATGTGAGTCTCTTCCTCAGAATGGAAATGTTGGTACCTTTGGTTCTCACTGAAACACTGTCTTTAAAACCATTGAAGAATCTGTCTGTACAGTGGCATCTATCTCTTGTTGTCTGTATTATGTTCTTAATGTTCCTTTTTTCTAACCCATGGAAAATGGCATGAATGCTAGTTTTAACATTGTTTAACAAGTAACTCTAATAGGCTTTCCCACTGTTTTCTGTTACCTTCAAGAATAGTTTTGAATTTGGTATTTTGGTAGGGAATTAAGATTTCAGCGATGGAAATTGTACTTTTGGACATTTCCTCTTTAAAGATTTTGAGATCTGTTCAGTACTAATGGATAATCCTCTAATGCTTCTTTCTTATGCTTTCCATTAGTTTGTACTTGTCACCCTATATATATCTTCACATGTGTTTCAAAAGCTTAAGCAAATTTAAAACACATAGGGGAACTGTGAGAGTTTGAGACTGTCAACTCTTAATAACCTTTTTTTGAGAACATTAAGTAATGTATATTCAGACTCATTCCTGTTTCTAGATTTTCTGCCATTTAGCTCCTTTCCTTCCTTATTGACCAGATTTAAGGTTCTGAACCTTAAAAAAAGCCTTATAAATGTCTTATTGTCTCTTAGCCCACTGCACTCAGATATTAGGAAACCACCTAAATCACTGAACAAGTTTTATTTTATTCATGGCATCACGTTGAATGTACTCACTCTTTAAGATTTCATTTGATATGTCATTCATGTATAGTTAACAAGCATTTAAAAATGTAACTACTGTTTTAAAATTAATGTAAAGTTTAAATATACTGCCTACATTTAGATGTAGCACACCTTAACCAACACACTGAAGACAGATTTTGGCAAGTATTTCGATTCAGAATGATAGAAGAACTGCCGTTTTTCTAACAATTGCCATAATGCTCTTCTATTTATATAATCCATTTTTAGATTGTAAGATCTTAAAGAGCACCTAAAAAAAAATCTCATAAATGCTGATGAGTTATCTGTTTTTCCCATGATCACAAACAGCCATCTTTGTTTTTCACAAGTCACGACTCTAACGGATATCCTACAAAATAAGGTGTAAAAGCACTTGTGATTAGTGATATCACTAGATTTCTTTCAGCGGATCCTTTCTTAGGAGTATAGACATGGCCAGGCACAGTGGCTCATGCCTGTAATCCCAGCACTTTGGGAGGTGCAGGCGAGGGGATTGCCTGAGCCCACGGGTTTGAGACCAGCCTGGGAAACTTGGCGAGACCTTGTCTCTACAATAAACCAAAAAATTAGCTGGGCATGGTGGTGCACGCCTGTAGTTCCAGCTACCTGGGAGGCTGAGGTGGAAGGATTGCATGAGCCCAGCAGATAGAGGCAGCAGTGGCTATGAGTGTGCCACTGCACTCAGCCTTGGCAACAGAGTAAGCCTCTGACTCAAAAAAAAAAAAAGTATAGACATTGAGGAAATTTATGTTGTGTTTATGTGACATTCCACAGTTAAGGCAATTTATAGTGGCTGTCAGCTTAAGAATACGGAGTATAGTCATACTCTTTTTATTAAAGAGATTTCACTTTTACCTTATGGCATTTTTGTTGACTACTAGGAATGTAAACTAAATTGAGAAATAGATAAACTCATAAGTTCATAGAACTCTGGAGAGAGTTCAACAGTGATTACTTTGAAGTTTACTTCTTAAGATTACTCTGAAGAAATTAAACTGCTTATACGTTATTTTAATGAGTGATTTTGTTTTTAAGGGCAGGTTATACTTTTTCTGAATTCTAGTGTTGAAGAGGTAGGAGAAGAGGAAAAGTTTTGAAAAGTTAGCAAATGGCAAGAAGAAAAAAGGAACTAAATAGAACCTAAGTTGGCTGAAGTCTAGCAAACACCTCACAACCTCTTATTTAGATAGCCTAGGGTACCAGTTATACTACAAGCTATCTCTTTCTGACCCCATTTTCTGTCCAGATGGGTATTGGATGTGTGTTTTTTACTATTGTCAAAGAAAATGAACTTTGTTTCGTTAAGGTCAGATATGGTATGGTTGGTATAGGTTTTGGAACATGTTTTCTCCAGGTTGCATCTGGAGGTGGTGGGATTGGAGATGGTGTTCCAGAACCAACAACAGGCAACTGGAGAGGAATGCTGAAAACTTCAAAAGCTGAAGAGTTATTAGCTGAAGAAAAATCAAAACCACTTCCAATCATGCCAGCCAGTCCACAAAAAGGCCATGCTGTGAATCTGCTGGATGTGGTAAGCTGTGCGAATTGGGTTTAGGTCTGATAAGATGGCCACATTAGTAGGAAAACACTTCCAAAGACAAAGGAACTATCTCAAAAATGTGTTTCACTTCTGAATGTTAAATGTTGCCATTTCAAATGTCACAAAAGTAATATTTTCCCTGTCTAACTTGCATTTAGCCAGTTCCTGTTGCACGAAAATTATCTGCTCGGGAACAGCGAGATTGTGAGGTTATTGAACGACTCATCAAATCATATTTTCTCATTGTCAGAAAGAATATTCAAGACAGGTTAGTATTGCTTAATATAAATCACAGACCATAATACTGCTGGTGACTCCAGGATCTGTTTTGAAAATACATGTGTTCTTAAAATTTTATTATATTTTATTTTAAAGATGTGGGGTATAATTCAGGATTAGGTATACAAGTGGACATCATACAGGTAAAGTTTGGGCCTCCTTTTGGTCTTCACTTTGCCTGGTTTGAGATCAGGTACGCTTATTGATGTTGTGTTCCCACCTCCACTCCGGCAGTAACCCACTACTGCCAATCCCTTTCTTATAGTATTTTGATAATTGTTTGGGGGTCTGCTTATTAGTGAGAACATGTGGTACTCTGTTGTTCCTGTGATAGATCATTGAATATTATAGACTCTAAATCCATCTAAGTTGCTGCGAAGTCTCTATTCTTAAAATTTTAGATTAGTTTTTATTCTCAATTAAGTGGATTCTCTGAGTCGCTGGGTAATTGTTGCACATAATTTGTTAACATAGAATGACTAGGACCTGATGTATCAGCTAGAAAAAGCTATTTAAAAATAAGAGATATTCTTTTGTTCTGTCTGGCTGCCATATTCTTAGTTATGTCAGAAAATGTTTATCGTAATTTAGTAGTTTCATTAATTATTTTGGCTATTAACACTGACTTGCGTTCTTAATTATTTTATTTGGTGTTCCAAAGTATCAAAATAAATGTCTTTCATACTAGCATATATGTATATGTTTTCATTCTATCAAAATGTTTTTTCATGTATCCACTGTCCTAATGTTCTTTCTCCTGCATTTTGTCTGTAATGTCATTTCATGAAGTAACAGGGAGAATGCAAATTTAGTTGTGCAAAGTGATCTAACTCTGTTAGAAAATTTTCTGTATCCATTATGTGGTAATCTGTTAGTGGGTAACATAAATTTTATTGCACAGAGGAATAAAAAGGTTTAAAAAAGTAGCCTATTACACTTCATATTGAAGTAAATGATTTTGTAAAATCATTCATTTTTTTGCTTGTAGAATTTTTATCTTGTAGCTTGTAGTAGAAATAATAATTCTTAAAGACATAATTCAGGTTTGAGTGCAGTGGTTCATGCCTGTGTAATCTCAGTACTTCGGGAGGCAGAGGTGGGAGGATAGCTCGAGACCAGGAGTTTGAGACTGGCCAAGGAAGCACAGAGAGACCTCTCCTCTATAAAATTAGAATATACATGCATTTCTCGGGTACATGATGGTGTGTACCTGTCCTAGCTACTTGGAAGGCGAGGCAAAACCTGAGCCCAGGAGGTGGAGGCTGCAGTGAGTTGTGATTATGCCACAGTACTACTACAGCCTGGGTGAGAGTGAGACCCCAACTCAAAAATATATTACAAAGTCCACTCTCTTTTAAGTGTACTTGTATGACAGAACTGTGCAGTGCTCACCATTATCTCGTTCTATAACATTTCCCATAAGGAAATTCTGTACCCATTAGCAATGGCTTGCCCTCCCTCCCCTCCAAACTATGGTCTCTATGGATTTGCCTATTCTGGACATTTTCTGTGGCCTTTTGTGCCTGGCTTCTTTCATTTATGATGTTTTTAAGATCCATCTAAACTGCAGCATGAATCAGTGAATAGTCATGTGTTGCATAGTGACATTTTGGTCAACAACAGCCTGCATATATGATGGTAATCCCATAAGGTTATAACAATATATTTTACTGCACTTTTTCTGTGTTTAGATACACAAGTACTTGCCATTCTTATAACTGCCTACAGTATTCAGAAGTCACTTGCTGTACAGGTTTGTAGCCTTGGAGCAATAGGCTACACTATCTAACCTAGGTGTGTAGTATAGCTGGCTATACCGTCTAGGTTTATGCAGTACACTCCAAGATGTCTCCACAATGGAATAGCCTAATGGTGTATTCTTCAGAATATATATATCCCTGTTGTTAAGTGACACATGACTACTTATTCGTTTTTACGGTTAAATAATAGTAGATTACATAGATACAGTTTTTGGCTATTTTGGATAATGTTCATTGCAGAGTTTTGATATAAGGGAATTATAATGATAAATAAGATGAAAGAAGGTAAAATATCAAGAACAATGGCTTTTCTTAACGTTTGATTATGATTAAGCAAAAAAATCTGAAGTGTAATCATGCCATTAAGGAAATATCCAAAGTAGTACAGTGTTCTTATTTAACTTTGTTTTATGAGGTCAGCATGTAAGTCTACAAATTTAAAAGAAGAATTTTGCCAAAATTTCATAATTTGGTTTTGTTTTGCAGCGTGCCAAAGGCAGTAATGCATTTTTTGGTTAATCACGTGAAAGACACTCTTCAGAGTGAGTTAGTAGGCCAACTATATAAGTCATCCTTATTGGATGATCTTCTTACTGAATCTGAAGACATGGCACAGCGTAGGAAAGAAGCAGCTGATATGCTAAAGGTACTGTGGATTTTTTTTTCTATTTTTATGCCTGGGCAGTAGATATAAACATACTTATACAGTTTAAAATGCACTCTGATTCTTGGATATATATAGTCTTTATATAATAGCTAGGTTTTTAGCCAGGCTTGGTGGCTCAGCCTATAATTCCGCGCCTTGGGAGGCCGAGGTGAGTGAATTGCCTGAGCCTGCGAGTTCAAGACCCACCTGGGTAACTTGGCGAGACCTCATCTCTCCAATAAATCAAAAAAATTAGCCGGGTGTGGTAGCATGCGCCTGTAGTTCCAGCTACTTGGAAGGCTGAGGCGGAAGGATCACCAGAGCCCAGCAGGTGAGGCTGTGGTGGCTGGGAGCAGCCACTGCACTCCAGTCTGGGTGACGGAGTGAGACTCCAACTCAAAAAAAAAAAAAAAGTTAGGTTTTTTTCAGTTGTTTCTTGGTTAGATTCTAATTCCAGAAATGATATTGGTTAGTATAAATCTACTAAAAATTGGAGAAATTATTCCACATAATTCAGATTAATTTCATAACTTAATAAGTATTTAAAATTTTTATTTCCTTTAATGCAGGCATTACAAGGAGCCAGTCAAATTATTGCTGAAATCCGAGAGACTCATCTTTGGTGAAGAGAACTATATAATACTGAGACTCTGTTGATCTGCAACTTGCTAGTTACTGCCTACCTGAGTAGAATTTTATTATTTATGGACTCCTGTGTATTACAATGGTATGAATCTGCTCATGTGAAGACTGGCTATAAACTGAAAAGTGTACTCTGTATTACAGAACAAATCACACATTTAATCCAAATAATAAATGGCTGTTTCTAAAGTTTCCTAGTATATATAAAATACATCAAGTCTGTCTTGTGGCAGTTTCATTTGAACCTAAAAAGAACTGTTAATGTTCTAGTTGTACAAAGCAGTTTGCCTGTGGATAAGATGACCTGTGTAATCTTGTTAGTAGTATTAAAGCTGCTGCCATAGTCCTACAAGAAGAAAGCACCAAGACACCATTTCATATGACTATAATGCATGTACTATTTAAACTGATTTGGCTTTGAAAGATGTGGGTTGGCAGATTCCTCACATGGTTCCTGTAGTTCACCTGTCCTTCAGTTTACAGTTTTTTTGAGCTTCTCTGTAGTCTTTGCTGTGTTATTAAGAAAGCTGAAGCCAGGCTCGGTGGCTCAGCCTGTAATCCCACGCTTTGGGAGGCTGAGGTGAGTGGATTGCTTGAGCCTGCGGGTTTGAGACCGCCTGGGCACTTGCAAGACCTCATCTCTACAATAAATAAAAAATCAGCCGGGCGTGGTAGCACAAGCCTGTAATTCCAGCTACTCGGAAGGCTGAAGTAGAAGTATCGCCCGGACAGTGAGACTCCAACTCAAAAAAAAAAAGAAAGAAAGCTGAATACACAAGAGGATCTGTAGCACTGACATAGATGTGGTGTGCATACTGTGTAGTTAAGCCCTTCCGCTTCTGGGTCCATTGGCCCTAGTGGATCACAAATTAGAACATGCTTCTATTCTTTCTTAAACCTGAAAACATGAATTATAATTTCTGCATTAAAAACAACCATCTAGACTGCACAGTAACAATGGCCAGTCCCTTTTAGTTTTAGAAGATCCAATGATGACCTAAATTCCCCATAATTTGCAAATAGTAGTAGTAGTAATTAAGATACATCTTTAAAACGAGGCACTTGCACCAGGCTCCAAGATTCACTTAGAGGTGGGACTTAAACCAATCTACTCTCTGTTTTAGTTGCTTCACACTAAGAGTACATTGGAATACTCTACAAATACTGATGGAGTTTTGTTATTTCAAGAAAACATTTGGATACACACACTCCTACAGGTTTATAGACGAATTGCAACCGGGGTGAGGTTTATAACATACACTATTTTTATTAAGATTCCCCAGGTGATTCTTGGTATGAACTACATAAATTTTAAGATATGGGCAGAAATCCTTAAGACATAGCTCCACTGTTAACAGGTAACACATTAAGTAGAGTATATATGACAGATATTAAAATTTCTTTTCAGGTTACGACCAGATATTTATGAAGGACTACTGGCAGGGAAAATGTGATGTTACCTTTAGCTTACAGTACCCACTTACTAAGAAACAGCAGGCTCACCAACTGATCTCAAACATAAAACCCCAATCAGTCGGATATGATATGGTACTACTTTGAATCTGTTGACAGTACTATCTTGGCAGAGAATACACACTACCAAACATTGGCTAGCACACTCAAAAATCACTCTGTCATCATTAAGCATTAATTTTGAAGTTATAGCCACTCATAATTTACTTTTTTTTCAAATGGTAAATCAGATGACTACCATTCTTCTGAATTTATAAGGAAAAAACAAAACTACAATGCATCTTTCTCCAGCACATCAAACAGATTTCAAATTGAAAATATCAGATTGAAAGACATACTATGATAATGTACTTGCTAGAACTACACACTTTGTACAACGGAAAACAGAGACAAGAAACTTTGTTGGCCCTCAAACTGAGTGAAGTTCCGATGATCGTAGAGATGATCACTGACATTTATAAAATACTTGTATGTTCTTGCTGTGTAAATAAAATTGCTGGTATGAAATGACATTAATGTTTGTCAATAAGTGAATTCTTCCTAACTCTTCTCCCAGAGAAAGGTTTAGATAACCTATTGCTTTTTAACACCTAAATCTACTTTGGAACATAACAGTACAGCTTATAGTGTACTAGAAATTTTATGACCTTTTTCCTATTAGACTCTCACAATTCACTGAGATATTATTACACCTCCATTTTTGTGTTTGAAGACAGTGATGAGCTCCAAGTAATCCAGGTAGTAAATGGCTAGAATATGGAACAGTAAAGGCATGCTCTGTTGCCTGTAAAGTTTTCAAAAGAATCTGATTAAACCATTTTGTGTGACTCATTTGATCCTCAGGAAAATGGGGGTGCTATCACTTTGATTTCTCAGATGTGGAAACAGTTCTGGAGATTTTAACTTGCCTAATATGTAGAGTTGAACTCAGTCTTGATTCCATATCCTTCAAGTTTGACTTGAAAAGTTTCCTTACCCGGATACTTTCTGGTATTCTCATATGATTGCATATTTGGTATAATATTTTTCATTTATTTGGTTACTTAACTTTTCAGTTTAACCCAAGTTACAATCTATTTGGAGGCAGAATTTGAAATTTAAAACTAATTTAAAAGTTTTTAATTTTATAGAACATTGCTACCTTAGGAATCTACTGAAAAAACAAGACGGAGTAGATGGAATTATACTAAAAAATAAGCAAAGGACTAAAAAACGGAAACTTTCAGAAAAGTCAAGTACTGATTTTTGTTCTTTGAGAAGAGACGATTTCATACTATAATTTCTAATGCCAACTATGGTCTAATCTAACTTTTCTCCTTTTTAAGGAGAACTATATTTCCTTCCTAAACAAAAAGATCAGAAACTTACAAGTTCATAATACTAGTTTTCCCATTTCTTTTTTTTTCTTTTTGAGTTGGAGTCTCACTCTGTCTGCCAGACTGGAGTGCAGTGGCTGCTCCCGGCCACCGCAGCCTCGACCTGCTGGTCTCTGGCGATCCTTCCACCTCAGCCTTACAAGTAGCCGGAATTACAGGCGCATGCTACCATGCCTGGCTCATTTTTGATTTATTGTAGAGACGAGGTCTCGCCAAGTTGCCCAGGCGGGTCTCGAACCCGCGGGCTCAGGCAATCCACTCACCTCAGCCTCCCAAAGGCGCGGGATTACAGGCTGAGCCACCGAGCCCGGCTGTTTTCCCATTTCTTATGTGGACATTAGAGGCACTGCGGTTTCATAAACAACTATAGAGCACTGGTCAGATCAGTGCTTTATACCTGATATAAAAGTAGTCACAGTTCCTTACACTACTACTTTTTTATTTTCCTGTCATCACTCCAAAACAGAAAGCAAAAAGGGTAGGATAGGAAAGACAGCATTTATTTCTTTTAAAAGAGATTCATCACTGGAAATCATAGTTTTCTATGGTAGTCCTTAATATTTGTGGATCGGAAAATAAAATATCCCATAATTAAACAAGCACCTTATTTATTAACTAACCCATAAAAATAATGAAGTTACTCACACTGTGAGGCATAGTGTACACGCTCCATTCTGTTTTTCTGACTTGCATATGTGAACGTATAAGTTCTGGAGCCCACCTTTCATATATCTTGGGAATGAATGTTGGATAAGTCTGAATAAGGATTTTTCATAATTGAAGCCATTTTATAACGTAGAAATTTCTTTTTCCTATTTTAAGTAAAGAGAGTCCATTCTTGAGAATATGTTGTCCAACAACTAAAACAGTCTCAGGATTTGTTACTTGTCTGTGATTTATACTGACTCCGCCTTCTGTTATCATTCGATACCTAAAAACAGAAAAGTTTAGTAACTAGAGACAACCAATCACTACTGACTTCTCCCCCCAAAAAATTTCACTGAAATCTCAGAGGCTCTTCAACTGAGAACATTTAGCACTGGGTTGTTACCTTCATGTCCACTGTCATAATAGATTCTACCCTCCTTTAACGTTCTTCCAAAGGAGCAGATATACGGCATTAAACCAGCTTTCTTGTTTAGTGGAAAACAACAGCTGGAATATCTCACAGCTCTTGCTAGAACTGTGGTATTTTAAAAAATGAAGCAAGTAGGAATAAGGGAGAGTTTCCCCCCACCTTGGAAAAAAAACAAGAAGTCACAGAAAAGAAACTTTCAAATTTAAAAGAGGAGAATAACATGGCTTTTAGTAAGTTACCCATGGGATAAAAGTCACAATATAGTGTTAGCTACAGAAACCTTTAGGAACCTTGCTTATGAAACTGGAAAATACTAGCAGATTTATATTAAGATTATAGAAATAATAGCAAATTTTTCATCAAAATAAAATGAAAAAAATTTTCTTAGAAATGAAATTGGTTTATTTCAGTAATGGAAAAATCCATAGCTAACTTAATAAATTCTAAATTATTTTTTCGATCGCATATGCAAAGTTAAATAAGTTTTATTGAAGTTACTTATCATCCAGTTCATTCAGTAAACATTTACAGAGCTCTTTATATGCTAAATATAAATAGTATTGCAAACTAGCAGAGACAAAGATAGATAAATGAACTATGACAACACACTGTGATTAACTACTATAAAGGCCAACAAGTTGTTCTGGAAGCACACTGGGTGGGTGGGAGCTGGACATGTCCCTGAAAACAGAGACACCTAAACTGACAGACAGTAGCAGTTACCTTCACAATCAGGGCAAGGAAACATGGGAGTAGCTAGAAAAAGGTGAGATTTGAGAAGAAAAGAGGGTTAGACCACAAAAGGCCTTGGACGTCCTTAAAAAAGGGAAATGATCTTCTCTTATCTGAATATATTACCAAATAAAATTAAACAACTATTGGACATGGTTTTATAGAACTCAACAGTGAAAGATTCTCTATTTAAGGACAGAGTTCTTTTTTTTAGGAAGTATTGTTTTAGGCTGTTTACTGTAGTTTCCAGGTCATGTTCTATGTTCTGCTAAATGCACACACCTAGCTGTATTTAGCTTCCATGGTATAAAAATGTACAATCAGTAATACTCAGGATCCTGGCTAACTCAGAAGTGGTGCATTAAGTATTGGTAAAATTTCCAATATGAACAAACACCATAGCCAAGTACAGAAGAAAATGAAAAATTCTTCACAGAGAGGAATATTCTTAGAATCAGTGACTCAGTATAGGGAAGTGATGACACTACCTTCAAAATCAGTGTATATTAAATAAACCAGCACACTAGGGAATCAATAAGGTGGAGTGGTGGCAGGTGATACAAAGAAGGACAATGGATGCTTTCTCCGTAACCTGGGGTTCTTTAGGGTAGAGGCAAATAATCCACAATAATTGAAAGAGAACAGCAACCATAATAAAGCAAATGTCATTCATCATCACGGCCATGGGCTGGTAACTGACTATGCTCAGACTCCTAGAGATGAGGCACTCAGGGTCTTCTGGCTACCCAGTGCTTTTCCTCCTGCTTCTCAGTGTTCATCAAAAATGGATAAGCAGCCGGGTGTGGTGGCTTGTGCCTGTAATCCCAGCACTTTGGGAGGTGGAGGCGAGAGGACTGCCTGAGCCCAAGGGTTTGAGACCAACCTGGGCAACATGGCGAGACCTCATCTCTACAATAAATAAAAAAATTAGTCGGACGTGGTGGCACATGCTTGTAATTCCCGCATCTTGGAAGGCTGAGGCAGAAGGAGTGCCTGAGCCCAGCAGGTTGAGGCTGAGGTGGCTGTGAGCATGCCACTGTACTCCACCCTGGGCAACAAAGTGAGACTTCAACTCAATTAAAATAAATAAATAAATAAGCATCAAATATGTGCCAAATGACTTTTCTGTGGAACACCCTTATTTATCCCCTAATAATATCACATAACTGAGAAATCAAAATATTCTTCTCACTTTCTTCTCAAGGGATATATTGTGTAGTTTATAATAATTGTCTTATGAAAGCTATATCAATATGTTCACTTCATTTTCAGAAATTCAACTAATATTTTAAATAGGTTGGGTACTGTCCCCGCTCCCCAAAATGTAGAGGATACAGACTGAGTATAAGAGGAGTCATGTGAACCTGTTCACTTGAATCTGTTTCTGTGACTCAAATTGTTACCACATCCCTGAGCTTACTGGTCCCAGTGTATTTATTGACCAATGTAGTCCCTCAGATACACAACTTTTCCAAAGGAGGAAAAACTGACAGGGTTAGACTTAAGAAGAGACAATGTAGAAGTACTGTACTTTATAGAAAATTTAAAAGTTAAACATCTTACCCTCGGGGACCATCTGGAATGGCATTTGCTTTGCGACATGTATCTAGGACGCTTGTTCCAGGGTCGAGAACGAATTCAGAAAATGAAGCTTCTCTGAACAATTCTTTTAACTCTTGATCAGACATGACCTCCAGTGCATCTATGCTACTGTGATAAAGGGCTTGTGTGCACCTGAAAAACATTTTAAGAGCCACGTCATGTAAGTGCTTATTCAAATATATGTTCTAATACCCATTAACCAATTATGGGGTGCCTATTTCCAGACTGAAAGTTTTTTAAACATCTACCTTGCATAAGTCATAAACTTAACTCAAGATAATCTTTCTTTGCAATGAACAGGGGCTATTTTATTTTTTATTTTTTGAGTTGGAGTCTCACTCTTGTCACCCAGGCTGAAGTGCAGTGGCGTGCTCATAGCCACCACAGATTCGACCTGCTGGGCTCAGGTGATCCTTCCGCCTCAGCCTTCCAAGTAGCTGGAATTACAGAAGCACACCACCATTGCCCGGCTAGTTTTTGTGATTTATTGCAGAGATGAGTTCTCTCCAAGTTGCCCAGGCTGGTCTCGAACCCCCAGGTTCAGGCAATCCTCTCACCTCAGTCTCCCAAAGTGCTGGGATTATAGGCTGAGCCACTGCACCTGGCTATTTTAAAGCACTTAAATCAACACTGACAATCCTTGTCAGTGGTAAATGGCAAAATAACCCTAAAACAGTGTATTTCCTAATTTCTCGTGTCTATCAGCTAAATACCTTTATTAAGTGTTAGTTATATTAAAAGGCTACCTTTTAGCAGAATCCAGTCCTTCTCGTCCATGAACAAGCTTTGTCACTTCCGCAGCAAGTTGTTTCTGAGGACCTCGCTTTTCTGGCTCTCTGATGTGTGTCTGCATAATGTGGTCAATCTCTGGGAGGGGCAGAAAAGTGAAGAGCTTCAGGTACCTTCAGGACAAAAAAAATATTGCATTAACATCACATACCTAATTTGTATCTCCAGCTCCCTTATTCTTTAAAGAACATCCTGCTTACTTTTACATTTATTTTTAAATATGAAACAAACATGCTGAAATGTACTGAAAATAACAGGCACCCATGCACACGCCACCCAGATTTAAGATGTTACTACTTTGCATCTTTGTTTTTTGAACTTTCCTTTTTAAAAGGAATAAAACAATACAGATCATAGATGAAGGCCCCAGTCCTATCATATTTCCTTCCTTGAGCCCAGAGATAACCATGAATCTAAATTTGTGTGCATCCTTCCCAAACATGTTTTTATACTTTTGTTTTAGGTCCATAGGCCCATAAATAACAAGTACTGTGTAATTTAAAAACTGACATATAGTCCTGCTCTGCATAACATTTCAGTTAATGAAATATAATACCATATTTTTACAGTACTTTTTCTATGTTTAGATATACAAATACCATTGTGTTACAATTGCCTACAATATTCAGTACAGTAACATAGTGTACATTTTTGTAGCTTTGGAGCAATAGACTACAACATATAGCCTAGGTGTATAGTGGGCTATACCGTCTAGGTTTGCATAGGAACACTCTACGACGTTCATGCACACAGTGACAAAATTGCATAATGATAGCATTTCTCAGAGTGTATTCCACTATTAAGTGACACCACTGTAATATCATCCTATATGTATCCTCTATTTGAAGATCTTCTTTGGTGAAATATATATAACACATACAAAAAAGTACACTAATCACAAAGATACAACTTAATGAATCATCATAAAACAAACATCTGTTTGTTTTATGTAACTATCACCTTGCTTTAGAAATATAACATTGCCCCTGCCCAAGGAAGCCCAAATATGTCACACATCCCCATGCTTTTTACAAGTTAACCACTATTCTCCCTTCACGGCAATCACTCTCGTTTTTCTTTACACTTTTAACATCTCAGTATGCTTCCCTAAAGAGCATCACTTAGTTTTGTCTGTCTTTAAGACTTTATGTAAGAGGAGTCATACAGAATGTATTTTTGGGCACATCAGTATGTTTAGGAGATTCATCCATGGTGTTGCATGTACAGCATTCCATGCATTGACTATCCCACAATATATTTACTAACTTTCCACTGTGGACACTTGTGTTGTTTCTACTTCTGGACAACTGCTAATATTTCTGCTGTGAATATCCCCATATTTCATATTTCTCTTGGTGCACATGTGCACTAATTTTTGTTGTGTGTATGCCCAGGAGAGAAACTGCTGGATCCTAAGTTATAAGCACATTCAGCTTTAGTAAGATACTGCCAAACGTTTTTCCAAATTGGCTCTAAGTTTATTCTCCCATCACCTTGGAACATTCTCACCAACACTTGGCTCTGCCAATTTTTTTATCTAGTTATTCTGGAAGGTGTGTAATGGTATCCCACTGTGCCTTTATCTCGTATTTTTCTTTTCAGTACAAAGGCTAAGCACCCTTTTATGTGTTTTTGGTCTTTGGGTAGGATCTTTGTGAAGTGCCTATTCAAGTTTCTCCATTTTGCTACTTGGTTATCTGTTTTACTCATTGGCTTACAGACATTCTTTATATTAATTTGACTTAAGCTCTTGATCAGTTATGCAGATGTAATAAAAATATCTTCTACTCTTATTGATGACTTTTTTTTTATTTCAATAGCTTTAGAGGATACAAATAGTTTTTGATTACATGGTTGCACTGTATGGTGGGGAAGAGTCTGGGCTTTAAGTATACCAACCATTCCCATCTGTGTACACTGTACCCGCTGGGTGATTTTTCATTCCTTCACTCCTCCCTAAGTCTGCAATGTTTATTATAACATTCTCCATGCTTTTGCAGATTTAATGCTGACTTTTGTGAACACTAGGTATTAACTTTGTCTACTTTATTAATCTTTTGTGTTTCATTCAAGAATGTTTCCCTAACCTAAAGTAAAAAATATATTTTCTCTTTAACTTCTAAAAGCTTTACTGATTTGTCTTTTATAGATTTAGGTTTACAATCTACTTAGAATTGACTTTTATGTACTGTGTAAGGTTGTCTTATTCCCCCACATCCCCCACATAACTGCAGTGCCACCTTTGTCAGGGACAAGACTGTTGTCTCTAATGTTTTATTTTATTTTATTTATTTTTATTTTATTTATTTTTTGAGTTGGAGTCTCACTCTGTCATCCAGACTACAGTGCAGTGGCGCTCCCGGCCACCGCAGCCCCAACCTGCTGGGCTCCGGTGATCCTTCCGCCTCAGTCTTCCAAGTAGCTGGAACTACAGGTGTGTACTACCACGCCCGGCTAATTTTTTATTTATTGCAAAGACGAGATCTCGCCAAGTTGCCCAGGTGGGTCATGAACCCGCGGGCTCAGGCAATCCACTCACCTCAGCCTCCCAAAGGCGCGGGATTACAGGCTGAGCCACTGAGCCCGGCCTCTAATGTTTTAATCTAATCTACTCTGTTCCATTGGTCACTTAACTTTAAACTTGTACTTTAAACCTAATGGTCATTATTATAATTACTAAGTGAGTTTGGTAGAGATGCTGCATACAAAGTTAATATATAGAAATTAACTGTTTTTCTGTATACCAGAACTGGGCAGAAAATGACATTTTCAAAAAGGTTACCAGTTCTTTATATATCAAAACCCTAGGACTGTATTATCAAGCATGCTATGAATAAATTTAAAGAAAAAAATCAATTATTGTAATTTTGTAATAAGGCATTATATATCTTCCACTCTATTCTTCAAAAACATCTTGGCCAATTTTAGCCCTTTTTATTTCCATGTAAATCTTAGAATAAGCTTGTCAAGTTCCAAGAAAAAAAAAAAGAGCCCTTTTAGCTATGGGTGCCACTGCACTGAATATGTAGATCAAATTGAGAACTGGAATCTTTCTGTACAATAAGTCCCCTACACATGAACCTTCAAGTTGTGAACTTCCAAAGATGCAAATGTGTGTTCACATGTTTAATCATGGTTTATGTATCATGGTTTATTGCCACATGCGTGCATCTTCTACAAATGGTTGTGCTTTTGTGTACTTTACAATATTGTGTAGAGTACATTAGTACAGTATCTTTATTTCATGCCCAGGATGTCCAGAAGCAAGTATAAAAGCAGCAGTGATGTAGCTGGTATTGCTAAGAAGCCACAAGTGACACAGATGGAGACAAAAGTGAAAATAATTGAGAGAGCAGAGCAAGGCAAAAAGATGGTAGAAATTGCTCATTCTTTACAACATGAATCATTCAGCCATTGGCATGATTCCAAACAGCAAGGACAAGATCCTGGAACATATGAAGTTTGCTGTGCCAGTGATGTCAACAATAATATACAAGCATGGAAAAGTGATGGAGAAACCTCAGTGTGTGAATGCAGCATCAGTATCAGTGTTAAGTCCTGCTCAGCTTAATGCTGATTCTAGAGAAAGCTAGAAGTCTTTATGATGACTTGAAGAAGAAACACAGCAAAGAATCAGAGGGTGCATCTTTTAATGCCTGCCATGGCTGGTTTCACTGGTTCAAGGCTACAGCCAATCTTCACAACATAAAAGTGGCAAGGCAGTGCAGACACGGTAGCTACCTGGCAATTTCCTGAAATGCTTTGAGAAATTATTGATGAAGGAGTGTATTTACCTGAGCAGGTTTTTAATGAGGCAGGACTGTACTGGAAGAGGATGCTGGACCAAAGTTATATCAGTAAGGAGGAAAAGTTGATGCCAGGATATAAAGCAGTAAAGGATAGGCTAACTCTGCTGTTTGGTAGCAAGGCTTCCAGCGATAAGAAGCTGAAGTCATAGTTTATCATTCAGAGAATCCAAGAACCCTTAAAAACACAGCCAAGCCTGGGCTCAGTGGCTCAGCCTGTAATCCCAGCACGCTGGGAAGCCGAGGTGAATAGACTGCCTGAGTCCACGGGCTCGAGACCAGCCTGAGCAACTTGGCAAGACCTCGTCTCTACAATAAATAAAAAATTAGCTGGGCATGGCAGTACACACTTATAGTTCCAGCTACTTGGAAGACTGAGGCGGAAGGATCACAGGAGCCCAGCAGGTCGACACAACGGTGGCCATGAGTTTGCCACTGCACTCCAACCTGGGCGACAGAGACTCCAACTCAAAAACAAAACAAAACATAACAAAACATAGCCAGGGGCTCTCTTCTTATCGTGTGGAAGAGTAACCCCAAAGCCTGGGTTACACACACCATTTCCCAGAACTGGCTTTTTTCTACCACTTTATCCTGAAGGCAGGAAAATAATGCTTGGAGGATGTCACATTTAACATTCTTTTGCTCTGGGCCAGCCCCCATTTTTGGGTGACTTTCATCCCAACATCAAAGTAGTGCATCCGTCACTGAGTACTATGTATGTTATGTCACTCATCCAGTCTATGAACCAGAGAGTTGTAGTGACTTTCAAGAAATATGTATGTCACGCTTTTCTTCAGGCAGTAATGGTGTGTGATGAATCAGAAACAACCTTTACAGTTTTGGAAGGACTGTAATGTCTAAGGCCATAAAAAACATTGACTTTGCTTGGCATGAGGTTACAGCTATCTCCATGAATGGGGTTTGGAAGAACCTCTGCCCACAGTTTGTTCAAGATTTTCGTGGATTTGAGAAGGTGGTGAGGGTTCAGAGTTCTTCAGCAACATAGTTACCCTCAGCGAGAAGCTGGAGCTAGTTTTGCAAGAGGATGACTTCACTGAACTCCTTGCTGTGTAACACAAGATGGTTACTAATGAAGACCTGATGGAACTGGCAACCCAGAGAAAGGATGAAGACAGACAAGAGGAAGAAGTAACTGAAGAACCAAAGAGATTCACGATGTGGAAAATGGCAAGGGGATATTCTTTATTTTGAGGAGGCACTATTAGTTTTTGAGGCAAAGGACCCAAATGTAGAATGGCACACAAAGGTTGCAACAGCTGCTAGAATGCAATCCAACGCTACCATGTCATCCATGATGAGAAAGAAAGAGCTACTACCTAGACATCATTGAATTGTTTTTTTCGAGAGGGTAGACAGAATTGAATCCAGCAAGAAACCAGAACCTGTGCCATCGACATCAGGCATGAGTGACATTGCAGCTTGCCCTCCGTCTCCTCTGGCTGACAATCCTTCTGCTCTACCATCTCTCACCTTCTCTCCCTCCTCCAGTCAGTAAGTCTTCTTGCCTGTTCACTCGAATGTCAGCCCCTGTATGCCAGTTGTAGTACTATACTGTACTACTGAACTTTTCAAGGTATTGTAAGATTTAAAATGTTTTATTTTTTATGTATTATGTGTGAAAAGTATTATAAGCCTATCACAGTACAGGACTATACAGTCGATTGTGTCAGTTGGGTACCGAGGCTAACTTTGTTGAACTTACAAATTGGGTTTACAAAATGCACTCTTGGAATGGAACTCGCTGGCATGTGGGGAACTTGTACTATGAATATGTTCTAACTCTCTTTTATATAGGTCTAGGTCCTCTTTGTTTTGCTCAAGTGTTTAACATTTTGTAGGAAAGTCTCATATATTTTTAAAATTTTTAAGAATTATTCCTAGTTTTTTTTGACTTGGAGTCTCACTCTGTCACCCAGACTGGAGGGTAGTGGCATGCTCCCAGCACCGCAGCCTTGACCTGCTGGGCTCCAGCGATCCTTCCGCCTCAGCCTTCCAAGTAGCTGGAACTACAGGCGCGTGCTACTATGCCCGGCTAATTTTTATGATTTATTGTAGAGATGAGGTCTCACCAAGTTGCCCAGGTGGGTCTCGAACCCGCGGGCTCAGGCAATTCACTCACCTCAGCCTCCCAAAGCGCGGGAGCTTACTTTAGTTATACAGTAATATTAACATTTTTCTCACTATCTTTTCATTGCAGATATATTTGTTTTCTCATTAAGTTACATTCTTCTAAGAGTTTAAGGCAAATGTGATTTAATAAGAAAATCACTTTTAAAAAGATCTTTAAAGTCATATTTGTATGAGGGAGAGATAAAGGAAAGATAAGGGGAATCAAGTTTAAGACGAAAGGAGTGAAAAACTATTAATATGCAGCCGATAAAAATCCCAAGAACTTGCCAGATACAGATCACAAACTTGGCTCTAGGTTTTCTAGCCCACCACTGTAGTTTATCTCCTTTAACCAGTAAAAATGTTTAACTTTAGAACAGTAAAAATTACAATATTTTGCCATGTAATGGTTTTACATGCATACTTTTTAAGTAAAAAACTCTTAAGGGTACACAGAGATTCAATGGCTAAAATTACACTATGATTTTATGGTATTAATTCTTCTCAGCCCTTTACTAAGAACTTACCTTTCCACTGAATCATCTTGCTGCCTGACAAAGAATTGATACAATTCAAACGGAGACGTCTTATCTCTGTTAAGCCAAATAGCATTGCCAGCAGACTTTCCCAGCTTTGCTCCAGTTGTACTTGTAATTAGAGGGACAGTGATTCCAAATACATCCTCTCCAGTCAACCTATGCGTAAAGAAGAACTTCATTATGCACCTCGAGCACGAGTGGTAGCTTCCACTATTCACCCTTCAGATTTCAGTGCAGTCACTTGCTCCCAGAAAAATTACTCTATCTCTTAAATCCAGATTCTTTTCTCTCTTGTGTTCTGTTACAGCACTCACCCTATTTTCAAATTTGTCCATCTGAACAGCAATTGCATGAGTGGCCCCGGACAAGGCAAAGTTCTGTATAATCAGGGACTAAAGATTTTGAAAGGCTGGGTGGGAAGAAGAGAAAAAACTGGGCAAAGGGGGTATCAGGAAGATACCAAAGGAGATGTTTACAATGGGCTTTTTTTTCCTTTGAGTCGGAAACTCCCTCTGTTGCCCAGGCTGGGGTGCAGTGGCATGCTCACAGGCACCACAGCCTCTGCTGCCTTAACCTGCTGGGCTCAGGCGATCCTTCCGCCTCAGCCTTCAGGAACACGCCACCATGCTCAGCTAACTTTTTGATTTACTGTAGAGATGAGGTCTCATCAAGTTTCCCACGCTGGTCTCGAACCTCTGGGCTCAGGTAATTATCTTGCTTCGGCCTCCCAAAGTGCTGGGATTGCAGGCGTGAGCCACTGTGCCGGGCTTTTAAAAATGAGTTTTGCTCTATAGCACATAGGCTAGCCATGTACTTCATCTCTCTGAAGAAAATTAAAATTAAAATCGACACGACTTGTCACATATTTGGAGATGAAACAAAAGTTTTTTGAGATGCCAGTCATGCATTCACACTAGTTTCATGGAGGGTGCAAAGCTGAAGCAGAGGGCTACTGAAGGAGGCCCAGCCACCTTCAGGTACAAAAAGTTTCTCAAATTCGAATCTGAGAGGCCGACTTAAGGGAAGCAAAACAGACAGAATCTTAATTAAGTGATCTATTTCTGCAGAGCTCTAGAATACGCCCCATACTCTTAAAACCCTTAATTCAGCCCTTTAGGTCCCGCTAGCCAGGGTCATTAACACCATGATATATACCCTTAATGGAGATTAAAACCAACAGGGGCTTGAACGAAGGGCGGCTTTCCACACCCTAATAGTGAATCACAGGCTATTAGTGTGCAAGTTATTCGGTCCCAGATTTTCTCCAGCGTTTAAAGGCGCTTACTTGTGGACGAACTCGTATCCGGACATAATGTTGCCCAGCTGATCTGATCCGCCCAGCTGGACCCTGCATCCGTAACGCTGGAACAGGTAATAGAAGTCATAGGCCTGGAGCACCTGGTAAAAGAACTCGACCAAGCTCATGCCCTCGGGGCTCTTGAGCCGCGTCTGCACGCTCATCCGGCTCAGCAGCGTCCCCATGCGGAAGTGGCCGCCCACTGCCGCCAGGAAGTCCACCAGGGGCTGCTTCTGATACCAAGCCGAGTTGTCCAGCACCGTGAAGTTGCCCCAGGTCCGCCCATCAGGGAAGAGCTCCCGGTGATTAGCCGCCAGGGCCTCGAGTCCCAGGCGCAGGGCGTGCGCGTGGGCCCGCACGCGCTCTTCCGCCAGCGCCTCGCGCTCCTTGGTACGGCCGCTGGGGTCTCCCAGGCGCGCCGTGGCGCCTCCCACGAGCGCGATCACATTGTGACCCGCTCTCTGGAAATGGAACAGGCCCAGCAGCGCCAGCAGATGCCCCACGTGAAGCGACTCGGCCGTGGGGTCGAAGCCGCAGTAAATGGTTTGGGGACGGTAGCCCGCCATGCCACGGTCGAAGAGCTCTGGGAGCTCTACCTTCGTCCCCCTCTCTGGGAAGAACTCCTTGAACAGACCCCGAGCCTTCTGCGTCGCCAGTAACCCCTGAGCGCCCGAATGGGCCTTACGCAGCCCCAAGAGCAAGAAAACCGACGGCTCCAGGGCACTAGACGACCGGCCCCGGGAAAAGCAGCGGCACACGGGCGCCGCCATCTTGGTGGCGTGCCGCAAGGAATGCTGGGATCGCCGAAGCCGCGCTGCACCGCTCAGTGCCCGCCTTCGACGACAACTAAGGAGAGTGCCTCGGTGTTTTTCTGCGCATGCTCGGGTACTGCGTGAGGCGGTTGCTTGGTTACGGAGCTTGCGTTCCTGGCGGATAGGTGGCCATTCTACCTCAGGACCTGGTCATTTTAAGTTCCCCCAAACCTTGATTTCTTCATCTGCAATGTGGATGCGTTTATGATCATGGTTTCCCTCAGGGTCGTTGTGAGGGTTAAGAATTAAAGCACTTGGTATGTAGCGCTATATACATGTTAACTGTTTAAATTTTCACGTAAAAAGATTGTGATGCGCAAGTTCTTTGAAGTCTTGGTTTTATGCAGAACACCTGTTCACAGAGGTTGTGAAGGGCTTGGAATTGGAGAGATAAGGAGCTGGCGTTGAGATGCCAACAATTTCGTAGTACCGATTTCCCAGTTGCACCTGTCTCCCAATATTCATTAGCTTTTCCAGAAGGTGGCACTCGTGTACAAGTTATAGCGATAGAAATTCCATGCGGTAGAGACCTATGCTTTATTTATTTATTGTAAATACTGGCAACTAGGTTGGGACAGAGCTTAGCATGAGTGGATTCAAATCAGTAATCACATCACTACAGCATGGCAGGTGTTACGGGTACTCCGCTTACCAGGGGTGGGGTTCTCATTGGCAGCTGACTGGCAGGTGATCTAGCTCCAGGATCCCATTTAAGAGCCATTTCTAGGACCACTCTCAATATCAGTTCTCTGGACTCCGTGTTAGAGACCTGTGTGCAGAAGGATTACTGGGGTGTGCACCTGTAATGGAGTGAGAGAAGTAAGCTTGGGCAGAGGGAGAGGTTAAACTGTGAACAATTTGTAATAGAGGCCTTAGACAATTCCCTGAGGTCTCAGAAGTTGGAATTTCCTTTCAGAATCATCCTGAATTGAGGCAAGGGGGCGGAACTTTATACCCTCTTTTTGACTACTCATGAAATGCCTCTGGGGAGGGAGGGAGCAAAACTCTGGGCAGATTATGGCAGAGAAAGATGTACAGATGGGACTCAGATGGGAGCTATCACCCAACCAACAAAGATCTGGGCCATGCCCCCAAATTATTCCTACAGGACGTTTCCATTTCTTAATGTTATAATGTCATTTAATAAGATGAAATATTATAATCATTTTATTATTTTTGAGTTGGGTCTCACTCTGTCACAAGGCTGGAGTGCAGTGGCAAAATAATGGCTCACCACAGCCGAGATCATACAAAACACAGGCAGATTTGAACCTTTTCAGAAGGGAACCTTTCATTCTTGAGGTTTCTGGTCAATATGACACACAACTCTGGCTTTTAAGGTGTTAATAATTTTATACCAGCAAGTGTGATTTCATATTGTAGTTTAATCATTTAGTCACTTCAGGAAATTCTTCTTACAAAAATTTGTACCTGTATCAGTCTGCTTAACGGAGAAGAATTTTTGTGGATGATGAAAAATAGAAAATTTCTACCTAAGATTAAACTTTATTATAAAGTCTTTAAAAATAGATTTGAGCTCTACTTTGTCTCTTCTTGTAATGCGGTATCCCCAAATCTGAGAGGGCTTGCATGTAATGTTTACCTATTCCAAAGAAGTCACCTGGAGGTCCAACAGGGAAAGATATTGCTTTGTTAAAACTTATGGGAAGCCGGACTTGGTGGCTCAGCCTGTAATCCCACGCCTTTGGGAGGCTGAGGTGAGTGGATTGCCTGAGCAGCAAGACCTCATCTCTACAATAAATAAAAAAATCAGCCGGGCGTGGTAGCGCATGCCTGTAATTCCAGCTACTTGGAAGGCTGAGGCGGAAGGATCGCTGGAGCCCAGCAGGTTGAGGCTGCGGTGGCCGGGAGCAGCCACTGCACTCCAGTCTGGGCGACAGAGTGAGACTCCAACTCAAAAAAAATAAATAAATAAATAAAGTAAAACTTATGGGAGACACCAATGCAATGGCAGCCGGTGGGTGAAGAATCTGCACCTCAAGGTAGTATAGCAAACAGTTTCATAATCGAAGCAATCAAGCTAATCATTCAAATCCCTATATGGCATGTACAATTGAATTGATTAGTGTGTACAATTACATTAATTAGTGTGTACAATTACATGGATTACTGTGACGACTATATTGCTTTCAGCTTTGCATTGTCACCTGCAGCCCATGACTCATTACCGGGAATATGCATACCCTTCAGAGACCAACCTTGACCAGAAGCCATTCCCTGAGGGATGGGGGCAGGAGGAAGCCAGGTATAAGGGGAAATAGTCTATCTCTGGACATTACCCCATACTTCTTAAGTTTAGTTGTATTTCATGAAGGAGTGGACAAGTCTGGTGCAGCAGGTAGTATCAGAGTAGATGCCGCGTGAGACAACACTAACTCGATGACAGCAACAATTTTGGAAAATACTTTCGGAGCAGTTGTTTTCCTCTCATAATTTGTATTGGCAGAGTAGGGAAAATGAGATTCTGTCCAAAAGAAGGAGCAATAGAAGAAGGTGGGACTTTCAAAGATTTGGAATTACATCCATGACTAAAATTTTAGAGGACTGCACTCATGACTTGCACTTGAGTTGAGAAAAGATGACCAAGTTGATTCTTGCTGTTTTTAAACTTATAAAGTGAATGAATAAGGGTTAAACCATATTTTAGGAAATATTGTTTATCTCAACTGTAACAACTTGAGGGTTAGGTGACCTTGAATTAGGGGCACATCCACTTTGCAATTACCCTTTCCTGCCACAAAATGTCACATAAACTCTTTCAAACGATTCCTGTTTTATATGGTTTGGTTTTTTAAAATGTAAACAATTATAGACGTAGTAGCATTCAAAAGGCACAGAGTAACGAGTAGTGTTTTGTTTTTGTTTTTGTTTTTTGAGTTGGAGTCTCAATTCCTTGCCCAGACTGGAGTGCAGTGGCCACTGCCGGCCGCCGCAGCCTCAACCTACTGGGCTCCGGCGTGTATTAACTGGTCTCTGTTTTAAAGCATTTCTCTATTTGTGGCTTAATATGTATTCAGATTACAGCAGAGATTCAGCTAGGGCTGAAATATGAGCTGCCCAAAGGTCACAGCCAAATGACAGTAGAAAGGAGCTTGAGGAATTCTGATCATTACAATCACTATAAAATACTCTTCTTACATGTTTTTTTTTTTCTTGGAGACTGATGATATAGGTTTCTTTGGGAACATCAGTGTTATAGGATGCGAAAGGGAATCAACAGGAACAAGGAATAGACATTGTAAATAACTTCAGGAATGTAACTATGACCGTTCTTCCAGTTGAAGTATTTCTATGACAGTCCTATTTCCTACTACTTGGGGAAAATAGTTTCTAAAAGCTGGTTTCAAGCCTTTGTTGTCTTTGTATAATAATTTACAAATTAATCTGCCTCATCATCGCATCTTGTCACACAGCTTTCCTGTGGCCAGTATTCTGGAAACCTGCACCTAAATAATCCTCTCCCTCCACCCATCCTTACCTGCAAGGCAATTGCTCCTCTTTCATTCCAAATTAATTCCTTCCAGGAAGTTCTTCTGCATTAGGTGGGACAAGGGAAAAATGCTTTCACTATCCGGGTTTATCATGCCCCTAAAATAGTTCAAAATGTGAAATCAACAATGCTCACTCATCCTTCTCACAATTAAGGAAAGACCTTCAAGTTTTATTACAAATTTAAGTCATGTAAGCCGAGTTCTTTGAACCTGTCTATGTCATTTGATTGAAGTGGCTCTAATGCTTTTTGAGCTGGCAGTCATCTTGACATCCAAACACTTTATAAAAGAGATTCATTTCTTTTAAGTTGTTGGTCAAGGGACGATAATTAGACAAAGAAAAACTTAATAGATATATGTATATTTCTTTTCTGTATTAGAGATTCAAGTGTTGTTGCTTTCTTTTTAGCAACTTTTGTGTCAGTAGAATAATCTGGAAGTCTCAGAGTTTGTCTTAACTATACACACTCGGTTCTGTATTCATATGGCTGGATAAGGGCTTGAGATATTTATGGTTTTCTAAATCTTTTACTTTCTACTTTCTACTCTTTATTTCTATCCATTTAAGTCTGTAGCAAGTTCTTTGTGTCAGTGTCTTGGAGAAGATACAAGTCAGGGAGGAAAGCAGAGTCATCCGGGAACTTTTTGTGAGTTGTTGTTGTCGTTGCTGCTGTTGTTTTGAGTCAATGTCTCTGTTGCCCAGGCTGGAGTGCTGTGGCACACTCATGGCTACCACAGCCTTGACCTGCTAGGCTCAGATGCTCTTTCTGCCTCAAGCCTTCCAAGTAACTTGGGACTACAAGTGCACACCAATAATGCCCAGCTAATTTTTAATTTTAATTTTTTATTGTAGAGATGAGGTTTCACCAGGTTTTTTTGGTATGTGTGTGGCTTTTGTTTTCAAAAGTCAAAAACCTAAGATTGCATAAAATTTGAGCAAATAATCTTAGAGAAGCAGAAGAGAAAGTGGTAGGATCCTCCCACTAAAGCGAGACTCCTCCCCAAACCTGGGCAAGAGACCTTTGCCAAAGGAGCTGTGCATTGCTCCCTGGCTTCAAAAGGATGACCTCCTGATAGCCTTCAGGCCTGGGGCTCCTGGTCTCACCTCTGCTTCATTTGAGGTAGGGAGCACCTGAATGCCAGCCAGAGGTCACAAAGATCCCCTGAGGACTTGACCAGAAGGATGACTAGAATGACCAGAACAGATTGGAAATGAGAGGTATTATTTCCTAGGGTATGATGTTCGAATTTTGATAAGATCCTGGAAGGGGGAGGAGGCCACTAATGATAGAAATGCAATTTCCTACCATTCTAGTGGATTGAAGACACAGTAGTTTGCTTACTCATTTAACAAATGACTTAGGGCACATTTATGGACCAAAGAAAGATACCTGACCTCATGGAGAGGAAATCGTTCTATGAAGTTCTATTTCTCTGAGGAGTTTTTTTTGAATTGGAGTCTGACTCTGTCACTCAGACT